ACGAACCTTTTAATATATTTATAATACTACGGCGTACTATGTTATTCAAACTGTATTGAAAAAATAAGTGACTTTATTTAAAATACACAACCCATGCAAATTACTAATTAGCACAATAACTATTAACTAAGAAGTACCTAAATATTGCGATGAAGATGTTGTCGGATTTCAAACTTGAGTAGCGTGAGTAAGAAGCCACTTATTAATGACGAGCGCCTATTTGGGTTATTATTAATATAATAGAGTTATAACATCCGGGACTATTGAGGTTGTAATACTTTTTGATACCCCACCATTTACAATAAATAAGCAACCATCTAATATGATATGTATTTATTTATACATATGAATATACTATATTTATTATAAAGTGAAACCTCTAATTATCGGACACTCCTTGTCTCTGAAATTGCGTCCACTATTCAGAAGGTATAGTTTTTAGATTATTGAGTTTGTTTCCAACAAAACGAACTCTATTATTGGAGCTGTCCGTTGGAGGAGGATTCACTGTGTATATTATACTATAATATGATGTACAATATTTATGCAAATTTGCTTATAATATATTCAAATCTCAGCAGAGATGATAAACTCCAAGTGTGCTTACTATTTAGCATACCCATACAGTCATACTCATGTACTCAACATTAGCACCTCCTAACAAATTGATTGAACTTTAGACATTTGGTAATTTTCAATTGGCACAAAATGTGATCTCCTACATTTAAATGATACACGATATACCTGCAGCGTATTTAAAACTGTAGAATATTATATAAATTTTAAATAGGTATTTATTATACTTAGTAGGTACGACGATACGTACTATATTATAAACACTTGCGTGTATACAAATACTTAAATATACTAGTTATAATATTTATTTATACATTTATAAATTTTTAATTGTTCATAAAAAAAAAATGTACATACGGTTTAACGTTATAAGAAAAATGTACTATTTTCATATTGTGCATTACTTACTAATAATATTATTCTCCTAAATAAAAATATAGAACTTTTTGAGTGGTTTTTTTTTTTTTAACATTATACTGTATTGTTGTATGTATGTCTGTTCTACCGCTTTGTGCTGGCCGCGCTCTATTCAGTTCTCATTTTAATAATGATATTAATATAAATTATAATGAATTATAATGTTAAAATAATAACCAGGAAAAAAAATACGAAAACATTGTGCTTTATTCGTGAAAACAAATACCATGCTGATATATTGTTATGTTATCAATGTGAATACAAGTGAAATAATGGTAAAACATACAAATGTATTAAATTATAAGTATTGTGAAATATATAAATGACAAATGTATTATGAATTTATGAATGAGTTATTATATTTATGTGGTTGTAGACGTTGTAGTAAAGTGTGAATGGGTCAGTGACCAGATCTAAATTTTTTGTACAGAATGTATCATTATTGTTTTTAATTCAATGGTTTTTAATATTGTCATGGTTATGGAGCAAATTTGTGATTTTTTATCAAATAAGAAAGAATGTATTTGTTTTATTTTGGATAAGATAATATTTAATGTTAATTTCAAAAGTTCACAATAGGTTCGATTTTCCCAAATACTATTTTATTCATTTACATGTTTTTCAAAAACAAAAAGCAATTTTTAAAATATTCTGTAGTAGCGTTTATTTTTAATAGCAATACTTTAGATGTTTATAAACATATTGATTTTGGTTTATTACTTTAACCTAAAGTTAAATGTACTCAACAATAGTGAGTTTTTTTTAATAAATGCCATAATAACAACATACTGAATTCCACAAAAATGTGTTCGTCGTTTTAAGTCAACGTCTAAGATTGGGCTAACATTTTTATAAAAGAAATTCAACTGATGACATTTTAAGTTCCATTATCAAAATCAGCCCAATTTTAAGTGATTAATCCAATAATTTTAGGTATTCAATCTAGTTATTATAGGTAGGTATGCATATTTGAGGTACCCATTTACATCAATTAATAACAAGGGAGAGAGAGAATAGTTCAACAACAAAGATAACAACATTTTTAGAAAAAGATAGCATACACCTTAGGTAGTCGGGTCCCATTACATTACCTATGTGGCTACCTATGTATTGACTATCTCTTTCTAATAATCTTGTTACTTGGCAACCTATATAGTAGGGTAAGGGGGACGAGCAGTCTACATATAAATTTTTTTTTTTTTTAACACTTTTTAAAAGGCATCTTTATTTAAACGACCATAAGTCTTTATAAATATAATACATTGTGGGTGAATACAGTATAATAACAGTAATACATAAGTAGTATTATACAATAATAATTACTTATATATACATATATATATATTATGCAAGAACATGTTTGGGGTTGTACCTCCACTGAGATACATATTAATAAGTCTATGGCTAAACGTTGTTACGACACATTTAATGCAAATATAAATTCGCGAGTATTGTGTTGTTTTTTTAGATTCTGAGAAGATCGAGGAAGTTAGTGGCCTTACAATTGTGTTTATTTTTAAAAAATTTTTTGTTTGTGTCTCTGTACACGATAATATTAGTATAGTCGAAATAATGCTTCAACGTGGATCTTGTTCGATTGGAAAGTGAATCTAGTTAGTGCATTGGAGAGGTCAAAATCCCATATTAGCGGACTAAGGCGTCGGTTGCGTCACGCACCGTGGCCGGTTCGAACCATGGCCACGGGTGGCACTTATCTTGGGGCAGTCACGGTGTCCCCACCCGGGCATGGCAGATACCTACGGGTGTCCACTTCAAAATTCTACCAAACTAAAACCTACAGTACCCTACTCCACAGTTAAAAAAAACTACCCAATGGCCTAAGTGGCAGCGGGTAAATTAAATGAAAAAAAAAAATATATATATAAAATATATAATATTATTAAATATCAACAGTGACAAACCGTCACCGCTCAGAATCGTTTTTCGTATACAATGATATAATATCATTGAATTCAAATTTAATACCATCCATTATACAGTGACCCCCACTTGTAACCTACTGTACCAGAGCGACATCCACTTACCAACCTTTTTTATTTTGCAATTATTAGTTTTATTAATTTTCTCTGTAAATATATATATATTATGTGTATACAAGTTATTTCAATTAAAATAAGGTCAAGTTGACTAATTTAATTGCATAAAAGTAAAATTAAAAGGTATTAACAATTATGTGAATTGGATAATATTCATATAACGTCCCCATAACAGTGCAAATGATTCTTATACATATTTTAGCATTTAACTTTATGTGACTTAAATGAATGTTTAAAACATTTTAACATATTTATAACCGTATCCTATAAAGTACATTGCTCAATATTCAAATCAATATCACAACTTTTGAGTGAATTATAGATTTTTATAGTTACTGATACATTAGTTTCTCCTTTATGCTCCGCAATCCCCTACGGTTGAGTGTTGACATAACATAATTAAACAACAATTTCAGTTGTATATATTAAAATGTCGTGATAAATTATTTTATTGAATTTATTTGATTACTTATATAATATAACTTACGATTATCTGGTATTGTGAGAAGTAGTAAGAGCCAAGGGGTATCCCTACCTACAATATTACCAGCTATACACACAAATACACAATACATTTAAATAATTCATAACTGTAAATGTATATCGGGCTGTGTTAAATAATAAATAAATTAAAGATAATGATGTATAGTCGGTAAAATGCTACGTTGGTGATACCTAATAGTAATATAGCAAAGACTGCAATATATAAATACCTATATTATAATATACTATATGTCTTTATGTCTATATATAAGGTAACATATGTCTGTCGGCCGTTGTCATTTCAACGAAAATATAAGTGAGAAGATGAACGAAGACATATTTTTCAGAGCACTCAGAGACAAGCCGGACTGGATGTACAATATTCGGAAAACATTTTCAATAATGCACTTAAATCACTTGAGGATATAATATTATGTATAACTATTAAAAACAAAATCTTCAAACACCGGAACATGACTGAAACAATAAAAACAATATGATGTCGATGGGCTGGACTGCAAGTTTATGTTGAGGTTTTAGAAGATACTCTTAACAACGACTAGGATGAACGACTCGTGTTATGGAGTATCTAGGTAGGCAGGTAGCTCGTAATTGAGTTGGTCACTGACCCACTGTAATGGTGTAATACTGTAATGGATGTGTTAAATTTGAATTCAATAATAAACTAAACTTTAAATTGCTACAAGAACAATTTATGTGTGATTTAAGATTTTGAATTAAATGTTACACTTTTATCCGAGCCTAAAATATTTAGAGTATTTTACACATCCATGCCTATTGCCCACTGTACTGGAACTTTTAGTTTTCATTGTAACTGACAAATGTGTAAGAATAATATATTATAATAGATAAATGATTTATATTACTCGTGATACACTCGCTATTAAATAATAATATACCTAAATTATTATAGGAACAATGGACTTATTAAAATTTATTTTAAAATCTTGGACATTGATGACGGTAGCGCCAATCGCTATGTCGTTTTACGGTGATGTTGGTAGCACTCCACCGCGGCTGATGCCCTTCAAAATAAATTGTTCTGTGATAATATGATAATATCGTCTTGTTATCAACCGTGATAAGCGTATTTACTACTATTTCCACCCGCAGAATATATCTATATAGAATATATTAGCTGTGTTTTCATCGCGAGTGTATTTTCGTGATTTCCACATAGATTATGTTATCTATGGATTTCCATTGATCAAAGGGAATATTATATATATATACATCTCCCGCTTATCATTCGGAACGCTTAACATATGTTCGTGTTATCACGGCCGGATTCATATTTCGTAAGTAGAAAAAACTAAAAAGATCCGTCGAAAACGGTATCGTATTCTTCTTGATCGGATTTTCCGTCACTCAAACTACCGTACCTTCGATCCTTTATTGCGAACACGCGATCATCTCTTACCTACGCCAACCGATCCATCAGCCACCATGTCGTTATTCAGGTACACGTATTACGATACTCCGGACGGTAAGGACCTCATCAAAAAACTATTCTACACCAACAAACAAGTGTCCATCATTGGTTTCGGGCTGGCGACATCAGAAATCATCCTGGTCAGCAAACCTTTTGGATATCTGAACACCGCTTACAGGTAATAATTATTGCAGTTGACGGTAGTACCTAATGCATTCGTTTTCGCCAACGGCAGCATGTATCCTAGATTGTACAACGATTGATTTTCAGATATGGCCAGTTGATGGGACCAATGTTTGCCGCCACCTCGACGTTCTGCTTGGCGACGCACATTGCCACCAACGTACGTGGTAAAGATGACATGGTGAACTATGCCATTGGCGGTTTCTCCACCGGCGCACTGACGGGCATACTTTTAAATCGAAAAATGGTCGGTTTTTGGTTGGCAATTTCGTTAGCATGTATTGGTGCAGCCAAGAAGCATTCAAAGCTTAACAATTACGAATTCTACCCCACTTATCCTAAAGTTCGTAAACCCGTACACGGAGATTTCAGAACACCATACGATAATTGGACTTTATACGAACCCCGACCAAAAGGATGGGTAGCTGCTGAAGAACGACAACAATAATTAAGAATAAACCAACATCAGTTTGTAATAATGAATAACTATGTGAGTTTACAATTTATTTAGCTTTAGTACATTACACATAATATGTTTTGTTTGTTATATAGTGTTTGATTTGAATTACAAATACATATTTATAAAACATAATTTTATTTTTTTTTGCATTAGACAGTTGTTTTTTCAAAAAATGGTTTTATTAATAATACCAACGTATAAATAAAAATAGTTCAAGATTATTTTATAAAATTATAATATATAAAAATTTGTAAAAAAACAACAATCATTAATTTAAAATTAATGTAACTAAATATTTTTAAACTTCCCAATCATGGATATTAAAATAAAATGGACTTCTAAAATAGTTAAAAAGTTGTTTTTAATTTTTGTTCATTTTTTGTGAATAGATTAATTATTTTCTAATTTGGTTTATTAAATATTTATTTCTTTCATAAATAGATCCTCATACCTAGAGCTCTAACGTATTTTAAGTAATTAGTCTATGCAATCAGAATATTTTCAATGCGGGAGAGTGGTCCATACCTTATTTCATCTACCAAATGTTGCAAAATATTGTTATTGGTTATATTATTATTTTTGGTATCATATCCTATTATTATATTTCTATTTAAAAACTAAATTTGCAATGAATTAGCAAAGCTACTAGTTATTTTATTAAATCATTAAACATATTAAAAAAATTACCTAGAGAATACCTATAGAGGGTTAAAAGAGTAAACATCATAATTTAAAGGTATGGATAATACAAAATTGTATACTCTTTAAAGAATAATGTATAGTGAATATAAAATGTAATGTTTAACCATATAACGTTTCCCAATTCTATAATACTATAGTATACTATAGGCTGTGGGTTCTGAAAGAGCTCTGTGGTCAAGCACTGAAAAATATGAGATAGGTTGGTTTGTTCCTTAATCAAAGCTCATAAAATTTAGTTTTACATTATCAGTAGTTATGGACACTTAGCCTGTGAATCAACATGTAATTTACCGTTCTGATGTCAAAATCTATAATAACTTTATTTACAACATATTCAATCCAAGTTCTATATTCCTGTATAAGGAATTAAATTTTTTAAATTTCACCTTTTTTTAATAACAATTATTATAATAATTTTCTTGAGCAAAAAATTATTTGCTTCATTACATTTTCTCTAATGTTCATAAACTTACATCAAAATGTATAAAGACCAACTGCCATACCATGTTTTAAATAAATAAAAAGGTGCTCTGCTGTTCAGTAGGTTACAAGTGGGTCACTGTATAATGGATGGTATTAAAATTGAATTCAATAATATAATATCATTGTATAAGAAAAACAATTCTGAGCGGAGACGGTATTTCAATCTAGGTATAGGTAAGACATATTATATACTTATCTATGGTATTAAAAAAAATTGACCTATAATAAATTCCAAATTAATCATGTCACAATACCTATTAGGTACTTATAACGCGTTAACATCAACATTAAAACCCTGATACTAGCATAGATATACAATAGTGTACTTTAGAAGTTTAAAGTACCCGTGAATAATATTATACAATAACAACAAAATAACTAAAATAGTTATTCTAGGTTTTTTTTTGTGTAATTTCATCATAATTTGAACTTTAAATGAAATAATAATAAAAAAAAATAAACTGTGCTTATGAATTTTTTAGAATTTTTGGTAATAGAATTAACTACATACGTGGAATCTTGTTTTAAATTTTCAATCCTTAGAAATAAAAGTTGAACATTTTATACATTTTTAACTACAAAATAATTATTCAGTTTTAAATTTGATAATTCAATTTGATCAATGATAAATTTTGTCAAAATTCTATCTTTAAATGAAATCTTAAAATTGTGAATGTGTATTTTTAATATTTTTCAACTGCTATTGTAACAATATTATATCAGGAGCCTTGTATTAAATGTTTACACTTTTTGTCCTAACAAATAAAACTTTATTGATATTTTTGAAAAAAAAAAATAAAAAAATTTAAATATGAAATTGTCCATCAACAGCTCAAAACAAGTCAAAATATTTTGAAAATTTTATCAAGTATAAGAATCGATAAAATAAACATTCAGTGAAATTTTCATGTATCTACAGTTATTCGTTTTTGAATTACAACAAAATAAGAAAATCGCTACATGAGAAATCGAGTGAATATCCAATGTTGTAAAAATTTGAATTTCAAACACTCATAAAAATTTAGTTTGACTTTCTTAAGGACATTTTTTTTGATAAAAGTAGACAAATTTATAAGGAATCTTGTATTACATTTTCATATCATAGTTTTAAAAAGAAAATTTTTATGAATTCTTAACTCAAAATAATTTTATACATTTCGTGATTTTTCCATGTTTTGTCAAGATTTGAACTTTAAATGCTTATAAAAAAAACTGTGACTAAGGATTTTTAATATTTCTCAAATGTCAATGTAACAATATAGTAGGAGCCTTGTATTAAATTTTCAAGTATTTTTACTCAACAAATAAAGTTTTATTGACATTCATAGAAAAAAAAACTAATAAAATTGGAAACTGAAAATGTCCCTAAACAGTTCAAAATAAATGAAAATATTTTGAAAATTGTATTGTGTATAGAAAATGCAAATATAAAAACCAGTGAAAATGTCATGTATCTACGGTCATTTGTTTTAAAGTTACACCAAAATCCAAAAACGATTTTGTCAAAAACCGATTTTGCGTAAAAATTCACGTTTTTCCTTAATTTATATTTTGTTTTTCCTGGCGATTTTGAAAGCTATTGGGAATTTTAAATTTGGACCTCCCAAAAGTACCAACTAGATTTACTTTCCCATCGAACAAGATACTGAAGTTGAAAATCGACTATATATTTAATAGTTATTTCGACTACTAACCATGCACACGACACCAAAAAATAAAAATAATAAAAAAATAAAAACACACATCATTGTAAAATCAATACATTCATCGTTCCACTCAGAATCTAATAAAATAACCCCCCAAAAATATTAATATATAACAATTAAATACTCCTAAAAATGCGGGATGATCAACTATGACTTCAATATTATTTTAGGTACACTGTACCTATACAAATTTTTTTTCAACTACAAAACTGTACTAATATAGGCTACCTATATTTTATCTCCCATATTTCTCCAAGTTAAACTTGTTTTTTTATCATTGGATTTTAGTACGGTTAGTTTAGGATTTTGTATTAATTGATTATATTCATCCACCGTAGGTGGAATTAAGTAATAACAACAAACTTGGTATAACTTTGATACTTTAGAGTTAAATCATACACTTACGTACAAACAGCACGGGGTCCGCGATCTACCTGATAATATACTGCTGCGAATCAGAATTTTTATTTCGGGCAACGGTAAAGTTAAGATAAATTTTGAACACCATACACCGAATATTAAATAACGAATTGAACAAAGTTTTAGTCATAGAGTTGGTACATTTAACGGGCCACGAAGTGCACAGGATCAGCTAGTACTTTATATATTACAATAACAATCAGATCCGTTTTTTGTTTAATTACCTATTAGTTATTACTTTCTTTTTTAAAAATATTATATACATACCTAGTGCATATTTACCTACATATACGGTAAATAATAAAATTAACATAACCATGTGTAAATCCTGAAAAATGTTCCCATCGTTCTATTGAACATTTTATTTTGAATAACATTTCATAACTAACTATACAGTGCTACAACAATGTTTGAATATTTTGTGTTACATAGACTATAAAAAGTATGAGCACATTATGATCAAGCATTTGATGGGGCTATTGGTGGATATCGCCACCATCTCCTTAATTTTGGGAGAGGGCCTTTATTAAATTGTTTATTATGTATTTATAATTACATTTATAAATAAAAATAATACAACTATCAAATAAGCATTAAATGAATTAATTAGAGTTAACAAAACAATTTAATGCAGTAGATTATTAATTAGTGGTGAGGGGGATCTCCCTTACTATCAAGGGTTGTATACTAAATATTTTAATCACCACCCTCGCCCCCCCTGGTCAAGCTTCAAATACGCTATTATAGTTACTTATACGCGATTTGATTGAAGTAAATAAAACGGACGTGCATTATTATCGGATGGGGCAGTGAATACGACAAAGACGTGACCTTATATTAGGCATTATAATAATGATCGAAATAATGTAGACTCGAGCAGGTTCCTACCTAAACGATAATAATAATATAATATGTTGTAATGCGTACCGGATATAAATTTTCCTCAGATGGATTCTGTACAAATCATCGAAATTTACCTATCTATTTTATAAGGTTTTGGGAAGAGACGAAGAAACGCATTGCAGTCTGCAGACGACGGGCGACGACGAAAAGAGAATTGTATATTTTAACGTGCATTATTATTACTATTAAAGTATTAAATAGACATTAGATACCTACTATTGTACTAAACGCAAATCGCAAGTGCCTTTTAATGGGATCGCTCGTGCAATGGGACTTAGTTGTCTTGAGCTGTAAAATTATGCGTTATACATTTACTTCTATAATATTATACATAATAATAAATAGCAACAACACGTGTATGCACGAAATTAGTTTGCACCGAAACGGTGGACGTGATTAATCTGCGAGGAAAATCCGCTCGCGTGAACATTACAATACTTACTCTTTGGCCGTTTTCCAGAAATATGAAAGTCCGTGGAGATTTACAATGTAACGCGCATAATTTCACGATAAAACAACGTTAGTTTTTGGCTTGAAAAAAGCGCAAGACGATATGATATTATGGTATGTTTACGACCAAAACTGTTATTTTACTTTTAGTATTATTATTATTATTATATATAATACACACATATATATATATTTTTTTTTTTTTGTGATTTAAACATACTTACATAATATATTATGGAATACAACCGCAGTGTTTTTTTTTAATCTTTTAGTGCGCATCGTACATATTATAAAGTATATGTTCGATTTTGTAGGATATATTTATTTATATCCGCAGGGGCTCGAGGACTATAAGAATGACAAAAACATTTTGTGAGTATGGTATTTCGGAGAACGAATGCACCTTCACACCATTTTTATAGCCATCAGATTCTAACAAAAATATAATATTAAGGGTTTTCGGAGGAAACACGTTTTTACTACAAAACTTTGCCTCACAAGAAAAAATCTCATGCTTTGTGAAATATTCAGATTTCGATTGTATTATATTTTACTTGAAAAACGTAAGGTGGTTGCATTAGGCTCCGATAAAACTCGATTTTAGAAGTTGTGTTAAACGTCTGTATATCGCAAATTCCGTACGATATTTATTGATATCTATAATATAGTATACTTCTAGAAGTGTGTTATAGTTATTTTTATTTTTATTATTATTATTAGGTATTTTAAACGTAACTATCTCGTCTTCCATACTTAAATCAAAGGAGAAAATTTAAAATTAATTCATTGCGTGGCCATGACTATACAAATTTAATATTTAATGTGATTATGGGAATTATAAAACGTAAAATGATATATTTCTTTTTTTTAATAAAAACATACCTATGCCTTCCTAATATTTATATCAATAAATAATTGTATCTACATTTTAATAACTAATATAATATAGGTGAAATGGGGAAGATGGCTGAAATCATTTTAATATTGTGTTGGCTACAATAATAGATTCTTGAATTATTATAATGATAATATTAACACCTGTTCAATGTTTGTTTTATTATAGGTATTTATATTTTATAGGCAGTTTTAAAATTTTAAAATTTTTTTACGTCTTATAGATATTCAGTTATAAGTATTTTTGTTATAGTATTTTATAATGACATAATTTTACCCAAGTAGAAATTTTTTTAAATCTTTTTTTTTAATAATTCTAAAAACAACATCATGTTTAAACTTAGATCAGTTTGGTGTTTTGGTTGTTCGTCTTGGTGCACTATGAAAGTATAATATAATATAATATATTGTATTTTAAAAGGACAAAAGGATAATCAGCTATAGGAACAATGGATAAAATATAAGCGTAAATTACTTCTCATTGTGTAAAGATAGTTAAAAAAAAGAACGAGTTTTGATTTAATTATTCTTTAGATTTAGATTAGTTATGTAGTATACACATAACTAATATTAAATATATTAAAGTTTATTAACTACTTTTAAGTTTTATCTTATACTAGCTGAATTTATCGTTGCCCGTTAAAAGCGCCAACTCTATGTGATTCAAATTTCAAACTTTGTTCAATTGGTTTATTTAATAATCGGTGTATGATGTTCAAAACTTAAAAATTATCATCGATCGTCTTGAATCTCAAAATACTTGTGCAATCATCACTTCAAAATACGAATTTTGGAAGATATGCTACCTAAGTACACGCTTACATGTTGATACGAAGGTACACCTACCTGGAAAATTGCAAGCTTCAAGCTATCATTATTTAGTATCTATACTTTAATCAGTCAGCTAGTCGGCCAGGACACGTTCCATTATATATTATAGACATCCCGCCCCGTGAGACTCGTTTATGATTATGGGAATAGGTAGTATATTTTCAGGTAGGCAATCCACCTGCGAGCTGCGGCGGATTGCAGGCCCCACGAGGTGCGTATGTAAAATTACAAATGTTTTATTAACACGTTATTTATGATGTGCATGTGTGATGTGTAGGTTCCCAGGACAACGGTCAAAAACTTAGCCTTGGGAATACCATTTTTACTAAGTTATATTGTTTTGGCCAAATATAATATAGGTACAGGTCTAAAATTATATTCAATCATAACCAATAGCAACCTTACAATAAACAAAAATATATTATTATTTAGTTTTTTTTTTTTTGGCTCCATTTTTTCCATCCAGTTTCCTACTTTTCCGGTAAATTTTTTTTTCATACAAACCTTGTCCTGACAATTACGTATACATAAGAAAAAAAAATCAGTCAAATCGGTCGAGCAAAAATAACAATATAGCACATAGGATATCTACTATAATTATATTGGTCTTCTGTATTGGACGTCTGCCCATAGAGTATTATATAAAGACAACGTTTATAACATTAGTGCAACGATATCGAGTTCAAATATCAGTTATCATTAAAAAAATTCCTTAGACTTTTCAAAAATGTTATTTCATACAAACATTGCCTTAGCAATTACGAACAGAACAAAAACAAAAATTATTCAAATCGGTCGAGCCGTTTTTGAGTTTTAGCGAGGCTAACCTAAAATCCGGAGATTATACTTTTATACCACAATAGAAAAAAATGCGCTACTTGTAACACCTCAGTTATTTAAATATGATACAGATATGCATTTGTCGTTTAATGTACTAAGTTGGTGAAGAAACTTGCACAGTTGCACGACGCACGTATTAGGTACCTACCTATAACTGTACCTAGTTGAATTATTGATACAGTACAATATGTATTATTTAACTATAATATTACATAATTATGTTGTGTTATTATGTTATATTCTTCATATTAGTTAGCAACCATATTTTAGGTATAGATTTTTAATGGGTTTTAATTTTAAAAATAGGTATGGCGTTTTTGTTTCAAAAAAAATGCATTGAAGTTCAATGTAAGCTGAGCGAGTCAATAATATATTATTTATGCTTACTTTGAAACATCCATTTTTTTAATTTTTATAACTATCTGCTTTTTTTTTGTTTAAAAAAAAATATTAAAGTAATACTTTAATCTAAAATGGATACCTATCAAATATTTCAAAAGTAAAACTAAAAAATGAAATATCAAGCCATGATAATATTTGTATCTACAAAGTGCAATGCTAACAGGTTTTTTCTTTAAAATAATTTGGGCTGATATTTGATCAATCTGAGTGAGCATGTTTTTACCGATCTTTCATTTAGTTATTACTCAAAACCAAAATTGTACAAACACAGGACAAATTGTTATCGTACCTAAATTATTTTAAAATAGTATTTTCTTTATTTTAAATTTTTAATTTCGTATGTGAAATCCTAAAAAAATGATTGCTATATCTTCAAAAAAATTGATGAAATTGTAATAATATTTTATAACAATCAATTTAATCTATTATGTGATATCATCCGCCTTATAGTAATCATAATATATAGTAAATTGTATACAATTAAATTTAACTATAGCGTATATACTATTAGGCGTGTGGTTCGGTTAAATATTTTAAATGTTCAGTTCGTATAGTTCGAACAATTCAGTGTTCACTGTAATAAGTTAGGTACTATAACGTGCGTCACATACTCATAAATTCATATATATATATTTATATATAATATACAATTTACATTGCTACCAAGACGAAATTGTTAAGTGTGATTCCTCAACCTAGTTTCTATTTATTAATATAAAGGACGAATGTAGAATAGTTTTTATACAAGGTAGGCAGGTTACCTAGTTGTGCCAGTATTATTATTATTTTATTAGTTTGAAAACGAGACAACAGACAACAACACTATAGGTAAATATTATAATATAAAAATGTTATTCTGCTACAATGATAAATGTTTTATTCAACAAACTAGTTAGGTAATTATTTTTTGCATAATATAATATTATATGATCCATATAGCAATATAGACTAGTAGGTATAACTATAAGATCTATTTTATGTAAAAAATCACCTACACACAGTTGTATGATTGTATTATCATTACGCATGGCCGACGGCGACAACAACAACAATAGCCGCAGCACAATATTTATTGGTCAACAATTATGAATAATATTAACGACGATAATAATGTCACAAGTCATTATTATACTTCGGTTGATCAGTAGTACTTGTTGTAATTCGACGGCTGTTGGTGGTAGTAGTCGACGTCAGCGTGCGACTGATGGTAATAATTGTTGTCTTTGGGCGCTTCGATTTTCTTGACCACCGCGTTGAACCCGTGCTCGTGGTCAGCCGTGTACTCGACCACTCTGGTAGAGCCATCGGGTTCCACCAGACTGTACGATCCCTTGACGTTACCGTGACCGTCGCTCACTTCTTGTTGGCTCTTGATGTCGTGCGTGTGCAGGTCCTTCACGCCGTACTCGAAGTGGTAAGGGGCGGCGGGCGGTGCGTAACCGCTGTGCTGGTACTGCAGATGGTGACCTGCACTGTCGTAGCTGTCGTCCTCGTTGTAGTAACTCTTGTACTCCGGTGGGTAAGCAAAGGCCATACTCCCGAACAGAGTGATGGCGACGGTGGCGAACACTACGATCGACTGAACAAAATAATAAACATTTAGATATTATACGGTCTCGATACTCGTATATTTTTTCCTCGGCCTTGTAGCAGGTCCGTCCTTAGAGGGGGGGCGCTTTTTGCTGTCCCATCTAGTTAAAAAATCTAAAATGAATATAAATTTTAAAGGCAAAAACCAATCGGCACTCTTACTTTTCATTGATTTCAGACTTCAGATAACTTTGTGACAGTCGTGTATGGTGTTAGTATTAGTATATTAATTTAATGTTTCCGGCGTGTTTCCATTATTTTTTATAATACTTATGGAGTATGGACAAATGTCTTAAAAAAAGAATTGGGTGGTGTGGCCAAAAACAGACGTGCCAAAAAATTTAAGTTAGATCGTAAACAATTTCTAATATGTTAAAAAACGGACAGAACTTGAACCAGTACCTAAGCAACCAATAAAAATAACATATTATTCTAACTTAAAATAATATTAGTTTACAATGCAGAGTTTTAATTTGTATGTACAATTATTGTTTTAAAAAAATATTTGCTACCTTATATTTGCAAATTATGTTGTTACCTAGTTAATAGAAATGGTTGCAATTAGGTATTAGGGTAAAAAATATTTGTATTATAAAATATGAGAGGTGGGAATGATAACTTGATAAAAATGTAAGTAGATATGTGATTGCGGACGGTTTTTTTAAGTTACCCATTTGGGCTCACTACTTTTGCCCTCCTGCAGTATTGAAAACTGAAATCACGCCATTGGGTATACCGCCTACTGTTGAGATAAAATATTAAAATAGTAGTGAAAAGTGGATTTTTTTTGTCTTAACCCCTCCCCCCTCCAAAAAAATAAAAAAAAATTGATAGACATAATTTTCTACCAGTATACTTTTCTTAAAGTTGAAAAATTTTTACTATTGCAAATTTCATGACGGGAAAAGAAAAGAACATCACTGTAAAATCAATATACTCATCGATCCGCTCAGAACCTTTTATTGAATAGTATGGTTAATAGTATGGTAATAGTATACTTGGATGTAATTTTACTTTTAAATTACCTCACAACTATTATTTACAGGTACCCAAAAATCACTGACTTTTTCATAAATTTATTTTAAAATAGCAATATATTTTATTATTTAGAGTGTTGTATTGATCAATTAGAAGTAAAATATACACCATGTATGATAAATTGATACCATCATACTCATTCTGGAGATATTTTCGTACATTTTTGAAATTATTTTCTTTTTAAAGTGCGTATAATAATGTAATACTGTACGCATAACCTACATTCCTAGCCTATATTAATATAACCATGATATATAATATTATTTTATTATAATATTTAATATAATTTTACGAGGAAATCATCTCCTTACTATCAGCACTACACCGTTTATAATCTATAAATGATAATATAAATAATATGAAAATTCCTTAAGTTTTCCAATTATTTACTTAAAATTGATTGCCGTCCTCGCTCTTATATTCCTATTTTTCTATACGTTTGGATTCTTTAGCTGACCGTTGGCATGTGGCTTACTTAACTTTTATTAATACTTTAATAAATGGTAAAGTAGACTCTCCTGTTTTACTATCTCAAATTCTTTTTTAAATTCCCTCTCGTCTCTCACGTTATCCTGTCCTTATCCACATCCCTTTATCTAATTTGGACCACTCTTCTCCTTAATCATAAATATCTAATTATTTAATTTTATGAGACTTCTAAGTTAACTACCTACTTAATACTTATATAATAATTGTATTAATTGTATTAAAAGCTGTATCGCGTTTATTTTCAGAAATAAGACAAAATAATTGGAAACTGAAAATGTCCGTAAACAAGTCGAAATTGTATGATGTATAGCAAATTCTAATATAAACATTCAGTGAAAAATCCATGTATTTACGGTAATTTGTTTTAGAGTTACACCAAAAACCAAAATCGAATTTGCTTAAAAATACCCGTTTTTCCTTAATCTTTTTTTTCCCCGGCGCTTTTGAAAATTACTGGAAAATTTTTGATTTTGAACTTCGCAAAGCAACAACTAGATTTGCTTTCCCATCAAACAAGATACTGACGTTGAAAATCGAAGCATTATTTCGACTACTTATCGTGTACCAGGCAAAAATTAAGAAAATTAAAATAAAATAAGAAACACATCATTGTAAAATCAATACATTCATCGCTCCGCTCGGAATCTAAAATTACAATTTATTTGGCAAAAAATTAAAAAAAATTAATAATCTTACCTGAATAGCCATTTTGAAAATGTTGAACACCTAACTTGTAGACGAGATGAATATAAATCTATTTGTTTACAAAATAAACAGAAAAAATACACTGATGTATATTGAAAGCTTGCTTACAGTATTTATACTAAAATTCTTACATGCCTCCCATTGGCTCTAGTGGAGTTCACCTAGATTCTTGGACTAATATTATATAGCCCAATTACATCATCAATTACATTAAAAAAAAGGTTACACAAAATAATCATCTTCCTTGATTACATTACCTACATGTATAAATGTTGCATAATGTATTAATTAATTGTATATTATGTTAATTAGCATTGTTGGTGTTGCAAAAAAAAAAAAAAAAATGTTTTCATGAATTAAGTAGGTACGTGATGGTGTGATACATAACATATAACTTATGATGAGTATGAAAGTATAAGACACACGCATGTCCAATTTACTACATTATTGACGATTTTAATGATGCTATATTGAATGTTAATTGCTTTACTTATGTGAATTTTTTTTTACAATCATTCAAATTATCTAAAACTATATGTATTTTATAATATTATCTTAACTAGGTTGCCTCTTCTAGTAAAATAAAATAATTGACTGGATAATATATCACTATGAAAAATGATTCACTTGTGACTTGTCAAACGTTTAATAGTATAAGTAATAAATTTAAATGATTTTACCAACCTTGGATACCTATTGGGTAAAAATAAATGGTTTTAATGAAAGGGTTTTTTTTTTTTGTAATTCAATATTTTTTTGTAATTTCTTAGTATTGATTTGAAATTGTATGGGTACATGATACGTATTTGGCCGATTTTCCAATTTTCTAAATTTTTGAGAGGTTTTCAATTAAGTCGACATATCTCAAAATAAACCAAAGCTGTTCGTGTACGGGCTCAACAGCGCCATACAGGTACCAAAAACCTACAAGTACTTAGGTTTATTAACAGGACTTTAATACCACATGCGCACTAATACACATTATACGGAATACACATTATCATAATGCGAATACGGCGCGTGCTTTTCATGGTATAGAGCCAATTGGATTGTTGGCTGGCGGTGATGGGTATCTATCTACCTACAACAGTGGTATTATTTACCCTGAACTCGTCGACCGCCCGTCGGACTATAATTATTTGGGACCGGAGCTCCGAGCTAAACAATTTAAACATAATAGTATATAATATATGCTATAATACTGGATACTGCACCAGTGGAAACCATATATGCCACTAGATCGAGTTGTCGTGAGCAATTATTATTAGTCCGCAGCAGGCTCCAGCAGCAGAACAATAATATTATATTATATTATATTGAAGTATATCGTATTGAAATGGCTTAATTACCGAGGCTTGGTGAGTCTGTGAATAGTTTAAACAATAAAAAATAATGGACTGTGGTACTTCACTTCAAATGTGGTATTATTTAATTAAAAAATAATAATAAAAAAAAAAACATTACACAACACTACTTTTATAGAAATATATAATATACGCGTCTACCACTCTATAGAATCCCAGAACTTGGGGTTTTTAGATAGTTGTTATTATTATTTTTTTTTAGCTACAACCTACATATTTGATATACCTATATAAAGATATATTATAATGATGTGAATAACACTGGAATAGATGAACTACGCAGATCTGTTGAAAATATTTTAATAATACTTTTATGAGAAATTCAAAAGATTATCAAAGCATTTTTCTGCTTTGAAGTAATATTTTCTGAACAAAAGAAACTGATAATATTCTGTTTTGTCGCAGTTTGTAGTAGGTAAGGCAACTGAAATTAAAAATTAAAAATATATTACAAGAAAGTCGGGTATGTATTTGTACATCATTCTGGTTGTTTTTTATACAAAAAAATACCTATTATACTATTTACAATAGCTGGTACAATTAAATCCAAATAGGAATATTTCCCAAAACTAATATATATTATCTGATCATTGAAAAAAAAAGACTCATTTTACTATTATTTATTGAGTCTATAAGGAATGATATTATTATTTAGTTAACAGTTATTTTTAGCTCTTTTGAGAATATAGTTATTGTTATATAATGTCGTAGGACATTTGGAAAATTAGTCTTAAGGGGCCTCACTACCAAGTCTTTTTTTTGTCAAAAACTACTGTTTCTAATTCCAACGATACGTGTCGAAAATTATCACGATTTTCATTCTGAAAAGATATTCTGATTGTCCGTAATATATACAAGGGAACGATCGAGCCACATTTTTAATTTTTGTAATTTAAATTGCAATAAAAATTGTAAAAAAATACAGAATTTCCAACTTAAATATTTAATTAACTAAATACAATTTTAAAAATGTGCCTCGATCGATCCCTCGTACATGTTGTGGAAAATAAGAATATTTTGTCAGAATGAAAATTGAGGTAATCGTTGCGACGTACTGTTGGAATTAGAATCGTATGTTTAAGTGAAAAATAAGCATTTTTTCATGATCACAATATTATTATACATTGACATGTGTGTGCGAGTGCGTGCGAGAGCTACAATTGACCCGCATGGACGCCACACACACTAATAATCATTTACGACTAACACATAGATCTCGGGTGGCGACGACGAGATTAGAAATTGCCTAAATGATTCTCCTTAAATCAATGCCATTGCGAGGCCCCTTAAAGACTTGGCTATTTGCAATGGAGTAGCCCTTTTGCAAACTACTTATTATTTTTCCAAGCGACCTGCAGTTTTTCAGGTTTATTGCATACGGACTAACAGCATTTAGGCATTTTAAGAACTACAATCATTATAATATTAATATGATAGGTAATAACCATTTTACTTATTTTCCGACAAGAGCATCTATTTGTTATGCACGGTGTTTTGCATATGTAACATGTAAACTGAATAAGTATACCTAATAGGGTGATTTATTAATTGTACAAAAAAAAATAAAATTGCATTAGAATTATTACAACATATTTACTTATCTACTTTGATCAATGGCAATAGTGTATCGGTGGAATTTAGTTTATTTTAAAGTTTTAAATTGCCATCGTAAATCTCAAAATCAGCATCTAACCGGGTTGGACCCACAGGGTCCAATTGTGAATCTAAATCATCCAGGGAACTGCTGAAACACCCAAAAAATGTCACCAAAATCGGTTCAGCCGTTTAGGAACGCATAAAAGACAGACAGACATTCATTTTTATATAGATAGATAGATTTTGTATTATATCTGTATCTTTAAATATTATATTTTATTATATTTCATGCAATATTGTTTATAATTAATGAATTATAATTATGCAATACGTAGCTGATGTTGCAGATATTATATATATAATAAATATACTAAATAATAATAAAATATATTAGTTATTTTTTTATTACAATAGAAATGTAGCCGTTGCTAGCGCCTAGCACTTACAACTTACAAGTATATATACATAGTTAATACGTTTATACGTGCAGTGTTGAATACATATATTGTGTAGTCTATGGGAATTTATATTATTTAGTTTGTTTTATATTGTACTGAAGGCATGTCCCAGCAGTATTCATTAATACAGATTAGTATGATATTTTATAAATTTCATTGACCGACCGTTTTAAATTAGTAAATCTTATGGGACGACCTGTATCTATTTTTAAAAGACACATTATTGTGTTTGTTGAAAAAAAATACAATTTTAATTTATATTAATTCATAAATCCAAAATTAGGGATATAAAAACCAATCCCAGGAACGTCAGTGTACTTTTCTTGAATTTAGCACTAGTCGAGGCGAATAGATGAGCTACAATTATAATGTCGGTCGGTAAAGGCGGGAAACATTAATTTAGGTTCATTATTATTATTATTTCGTATGGCGTCAATGAGCAACATCAACAACACTTAGAATATTAAAAGATATAACATCTACATAATTAAAATAAAAAGATGGTCAACAGTGATAAAACTCAACATAAAACATAAAACATAAAACATAAAATATATAAAACATAATACATAAAATAGATAAGGGGTTCCCCATTTGGTGAATGTACGGGTCATGCTATAGCTTCACATCCAGGTTCTTCATCCATTCCACCGCTTCTTCCTTCATCAGGTGGATATCTTCTATGGTGCCTTTAAATGCGTGAATTGGACATTCAGTGATGATGTGATTGATCGTCTGGGATTCATAACCACAGTCACACGTTTCATTGTCACGCAGTCCCCATTTATACATCATGTGACCACTCCTACCATGACCAGTTCTAATACGGTTTAGTGTTACCCAAGTACTTCTTTCGAGGTCAAATCCCGGTTGTTTGATAGTTGGGTTTGTCACCAGATTTAGGTTCATATAAATTATAAATGCATGAGAAAATTACAATTTTACCTAATATAAGGCTCTTCTCCTCTTTGTGGATTAGTTTGCACCACGGAGACATCATATTATGAAAGGTTATCAATTGAGTATAACTCTGCTGTACAATAGGCTACAAGTGAGTCACTGTAATGGTTCGAGTTAAATTTGAATTCAATGATATAATATTATTGTATAAGAAAAACGATTCTGAGCGAAGACGGTCAGTCAGCCTATGATATAACTAAGTATATAGTTGATGACATTATTGTGAATAAAGTAATTTATATAAAACCTATTTAAGTTTAACCTTGTTTTAAATTTTCAATCCATACCTATACAATTTGAACATTAACTACAGTCATTTTTAAATTTTAAATCTGATAAATGCTGTCAAAAGTCTAACTTTAAATGCTTATAAAAAAAAATTGTGACAATCGATTTTTAATATTTTTTAAATATCATTGTAACAATATATTAAGAGCCTTGTATTAAGTTTTCAAGATTTTTTACCCAACAAATAAAATGTTGTTATTGACGTTTATAGAAAAAAATACTAGAAACTGAAAATATCCGTTAACAGTTCAAAACAAATCAATATATTTTGAAAATTGTATTGTAGATAGAAAATGCTTATATTATAAACAACCAGTGAAAATGACGGTAATTTGTT